TGAAAGGTGGAAATGGTGTCTTCTTGTAGCAAATGGCAGGTTTGCTTATAGCCTTGGAAACTCAGGGTTTCTCTCCTGAAATGAAACCCACTGCTCAGCCATCTGAGCAGGCAGGTACCGTGCCAGGCAGGTGATACCCTACTGACAGGGGTGTCCAACCTGTGGCTTGTGAGCTGCTGTGCATGAGGATGACTGTGAATGCGGCCCAGCACAAAATCATGTCTCCTGAACCCATTATGAGATTCTTTTTGTTTTCATTAGTGTTTGTGTATCTAATGTGTGGCCCAAGACAACAATTCTTCCCCGGTGGCCCAGAGACGCCAAAAATCTGGACAGCCCTGCTACTTCACAGCCTGCAAGCTATCATATTAGCATTTTTTGTCACTGCTTTTCTCTTCCACAGTCACAAGATGAGCTATTCTCAGACAATCACATCTTAACTGTGACTTCTATTCTAAAATACATGTGTGAAACCCAATAGCTACTAAATATTCTGCCTTAAGTATTTTTAACCAAGTGGGAGAAAGTTTCAAAAACAGAAAGAATGCTATATTAAAATTTTAGGATCAAGTTGTAAAATATATTAAAATGGTTCTTGATTTAAAATTTAAAAATCTGTATACATGTGTGCATATACTGAAAATATAACTGAGGCCTATTTCCGTGACAGATTGTTATGTGATAAGCACTGAGGGACGAAGGCTGAGGTTTCTGAGTGTCCGCAGACCCGTTTTGTCACAGTACAGCATCGGCATGGGCTCGGGCGCTCAACTCCGCCCGACAGGGCTCTGAGGGGCCCTGTGATCACACACTGCTGCGGCTACCATGAGCTCCTGCTCCGGCAGCTGGAGGAGATGTTCAGTATTTGCCCTGGCCAACGCAGTGGCCACTAGCCGCCCGTGGTTACCGAGCACCTGCAATTGTGGTTAGTCCAGACTGAGATGGGCGTAAGCGTAAATTACACAACAGATTGCAGACTTAGGGTGGGCAAGAAAGGTAAAATATCTCATAAATAATTTTTAAAATTAATTATGTTTAAAATAGCATTTTAAGGGTAGTAAGTTAAATAAAATACAGCTTGGGGAAAAAGTAGATTTACAGTTTTTCCTATGGAAAATAATAGAGCAATCAATAAATGGTAATACCAGAATAAACTGGTTTGCATACTGGCAACTGTAAACCTACTTTTGCCACATCCTGTATATTATTAAATCTAATTTCACCTGTTTATTTTTACTTCTTTCAATGTGGCTGCTAGAAAATGTTAAATTATAAATGCAGCTCTCTTTATATTTCTATTAAACAGTTCTGCTCCAGGTCCTTGCTGCTCACAAGGGCTGCTCACAAGTAAGCAGCACCAGCTCCCGCCAGAAGCTTGTTAGACGCAAAGACGTTCCTGCCACAGCCCAGACCTACTGAATGAGAATGTGCATGTTAACAAAATCTCATGTAATTTGTATGCATGTTAAAACATGAGGAGTAGAGAGTCCCTAAGATTGATTTAGCAAATAAAAATACAAGATGTCTAACTAATAATTTTTAGATAAACAACACATAATTATTTAGTATAGCATGCTCCAAATATTGCATGTGCTACACTTAAAATTAAAATTATTTGTTGTTTGTCTAAAATTGAAATTTAACTGGGCGTTCTATATTTTATTTGGCAACCCTTCTTAACAATAAATTCCTTCAGTCCAGACCTGTCTTGCTACTTGAAATTCCACAAAATCAGGAAAAGGACAGAAAGGTCAAAGGAGAGATAAAGGATAGAAGTTGGGTGAAATGAAAGAACTGAGAAGAGGAGGAAGTCAGATGGGAAGTAGGAATAAGACAGGGCATGGGAAGGCCACATTGAGGGCAGTGACCTTTTCTGTCTCATAGGTTTTATTAGTAACTTCCTTATTTCTGCATTCCTTCAGGTCCCCCAGTTATTGTCCCTTGAGCTCCTCTTCTCATTATCTTTAGGCCTCCCAAGAGCCATGTGGGAATATGGTGCGTGTGTATATAATGCAGGTAGTGAAGAAGGGGAGTGTCTCCTCAGGGTCAAGTCCCCGGCCTTCTTACCATCCATCATCTCTGAGATGTCACTTACAGATAGCACCTTTTAGCTACTAGTACTTGGCCTTTAAAGATTTCAAGATTCTTACATGCCAAAAATGATGACACTTTCATTTTGGAGGATTTTTTTTTTATTGTGGCATTTTAATTGTATTATTATTTTTTTTGTATAACATATCTTAGAGATTTTTTTTAATGTTCGTTAGGTGGGGATGGTGGGATTGGAGGCTGGAAAGGAGGGAATAACAGGAGATATTCTTTTTTAAAAAGATTGTATTTATTTTTAGAGAGAAGGGAAGGGATTAAGAAAGAGAGGGAGAGAGACATCGATGTCAGAGAGAACCACTGATTGGTCACACCCGCCCTGACAGAGGACTGAACCTGCAACCCAGGCATGTGCCCTGGCTGGGAACCAAACTGGCAACCTCTAGCTTTGTGGGATGATGCCTCACCAGCTGAGCCACACTGGTCAGGGCAAAAATAGATGTTCTTTTTTGAATTAGGCATTGAAGTAAGAAAAGGCATTCATGCCTGATACTTATTTAATTTTTTTATTTATCAAAATTTTATTTAACTGTAATAAGAATACCTAACATGAAATCCATCCTCTTAACAAATTTTCATGTGTACAATACAGTATTGTTAACTACAGGTACAATCTTGTTCAGCAGATCTCTAGAATTTATTCACCTTGCTTCACTGAACTGAAGCCTTATTCCTGTTGATTAACAACTTCCCATTAGCTCTGACTCCAGCCTCTGGAAACTACCATTGCACTCTTTGATTCTATGAATTTGTCTATTTTAGATACCTCATATAATTGGAATCATGTAGTACTTGTGATTGGCTTATTTCACTTAGCATGGTGTCCTCAAGCTTCAACTATGTTGTCACAGAGTTTCCCCCTTTTTAAAAGGCTGCGTAACATCCATTTTTTGTATATAACACATATTCTTTATCCATTCAGCCATTAATAGACACTTTGGTTGCTTCTATATCTTGGCTATTGGGAACAGTTCTGCGGTGAACATGGGAGTGCTCTTATCTCTTTGAGATCCTGATTTCAATTATTTTGGACAATTACTTATAACTGCAATTACTGGATCATATAGTAGTTCTATTTTTAATTGTTTTGAGGACTCTCCATGATGTTTTCCATAGGAACTTTGTCATTTTGGATTCCTACCAACAGTGTCCAAGTTTTCCGATTTCTCCATATTCTTGGCCAACACTTGTCTTTTGTTCTTTCAATAATAGCCATCCTAACAGGTATGAGGTGATGGCCCTTTGTGGTTTTGATTTGCATTTCTCCCATTTGACCACCTTTTCATATATAGGTTGGCCATTTGTATGCCTTCTTTGGAGAAATGTCTATTCAAGTCTTTTGCCCCTTTTTAAATTAGGTTATTTATTTATTTATTTTGTTATTATTATTATTTTGCTATGGATTTGTTGCTTATATATTTTGGAAATTAATCCTTTAGCAGACATTTTCTGATATAACCCTTTTGAGAATATTTTCTTCCAGTCTGTATATTTCCTTTGCTGTTCAAAAGCTATTCTTGTTTGATACAGTCTCAGTTGTCTATTTTTGCTTTGTTGCCTGTGCTTTGGTATCATATCCCTGAAATTATTGTCAAGATCAATGTCATGAAAGTTTCCCCCTATGTTTTCTTCTATGTTTTAAATATTTAAAGCATTTTGATTTGATTTTTGTGTATGGAATGAGATAAGGATTCAATATCATTCTTTTCCATGTGAATATCCAGTTTTTCCAGGATAATTTGTTGAAGAAACTGTCCTTTCCCTATTATGTGTTCTCGGCATCCTGTTTCTAATCTCTCTATTCTGTTCTACTGATCTATATACCTGTCTTTATGCCAGTACTGTACTGTTCTAATTACTCTAGCTTTTTAATGTGTTTTGAAATCAGGAAGCTGATGCCTTCAACGTTGTTTTTCTTTCTCTTTTTTAAAAAAAATATTTTAAAAATATTTATTTATTTATTTTTAGAGAGAGGAGAAGAGAAGGAGAAAGAAAAAGAGAGAAATATCAATATGTGAGAGAAACATCGATTAGTTGCCTCTCGCACACCCCCAACGAGGGACCTGGCCCGCAACACAGGCATTTGTCCTGACTGGGAATTGAACTCACATTTCGATTTGCAGGCTAGTGCTCAATCCACTAAGGCACACCAGCCAGGGCATGTTCTTCTTTCTCAAGATAGATTTGGCTATTTAGGACCTCATTTAATCTGCACAATGATTCTTTGAGTTAGGTACTTTTGTCCCCACTCTGCAGATGGAGAAACTGGGCTCAGGGAGAAATGTAACTTACCCAGTATCAAATAGCTGGTCAGGGCTGGAGCTGGGAAAGCCCTCGGGTGCTGTCTGACTCCAAAGACAGTGTTCTTTACTATTTCATTTCATGCTTCTCAGCAAATGGAGAGTCGTGAACGCAGGAGGAAAGTGTGAACTAGGACACATAAGTAAAATGAGGTAAATTTCAGGAGTTTTTACTCTTTTATTCACCTGAAAAATGCATATAATAATGTATAGTTCTTGGATTTTTTTAGGAGAATTTAATAGCTTCCTACAAAACTGTATGAGATTCTTACTGACTTAGTGTCAGAACAGTGCCAATTTCTAAAAAGAGCTTTTTGAAGATTTTCTCTAAAAAATCTACTCCCTGATAATCTTTCATTGAGAAGAATAATTAAACAGCCTAAACAGACCTATTGGTTTCACTCTGTACTCCCAATTAAGCAGTAGCAAGCCCCTCCCATTCCCCCTCCCTCACAGTAATACATCCTGGGAAAGCTGTTTTTTTATTGGTTGAATATGTTGTCAGTCACATGGCATGAAAAGTACCACCTCTGCTCTGTCTGCATTTATGAATTAACAGATGTGCTTGGTTTGAAGAAACGGATTCATTTCTTGATGGGAAGAAAAATCTTGTTTAGTTTTTCACTTATTTTTTTATGTATGGGGTTTTCACTAACTTTGGACCAAATATTTGCCAGGAAGAATGTAAGGTGAGTAATTGCGTATCTTTTAATGCAATGCATTTGCGAGCTTGAGTTCAAGCGTGAAATTTGGTGGTCCTATATTTTTAAAATATTGTTGCATAGCCACAATTGTTTACAATTCAAAATGGAACTAGATTAGATAATTCAGCAGCTACTAAAATCATTGAACTAGAGTTATAAATAAGAGATAAAGACAGTATCTTTATTAAAAGAGGGAAGAGTTGTTTGTTCAAAATACCCAAGAGACTTTTGTGTTATGTACCCAAGTATGTATCTATGAAAAATAAATCAGTATTCAGGTTTCTTTTATACTTACAAGTAAATTTTATTTTCACAGTTTCTCTGGCCATTATTATGTGAGAAGAAAGTAAAGACAAATTTTTAAACCTCAGAAATGTATAACCCATCTTTCAAAAAAAAGGTGTTAAATAATTTTAACTGGTAGGAGATGACAATTGTGTAGAGTACATACTCTTCAAAATCAACAAGCAAAATTTCTATTTCTGTTTTCTTTGTCCTTTTGGCTTCTTTCCATACTATTTAAAGGAGCAAACAGAGAGTTTTCTATATAAGAAATAATATTCAGAACCTGAGTAGCAATTAACTTATGTCTTATCTTTTAATTACTCACTATGCCATTTCAACAAATGCATCAGGGAATCTTGCATAAACACAAAGGACAGAGGCAAGCAGGATGATATGCCCAAACTTGTGTTAAAGAATTCTTAAGTCACCAGGTGATAAAAGCTATAAGCATAGACATTTTTAAATTTGGTTTCCGTCATTGTTTCCAAATCAATTAGTATAGTACTTCCTTTAGGCTCACTTTCTAATAATAAGTGACCTGTATTCCTTAGCAGTATTTCCTCACCTGGTTTACAGAGAAATGACTGATTTGTATATTATTATACTGGTATATGTACACAAAGAACAATAAAAATCCCATTTCTGTTTTTGAAGCAAGGTTAATGGGATTTTAAATAATCTTAGCTTCAGAAAGAAACCTAGAAATCACATAAATCAATGATCATTTGAGCCTAATAACATGACATATTATTTTATTATGAAGAAAACAAGAGTTGCTGTTTTGTGAATGTTCTTTCAAATTGTGGATCTGAAATTAAAAATATTTTTCAATTCTTAGTGGCAATTTAAGTTTCCTAAATCTCAAGGGAGGATGTGTGTATTATAAGCTTATATTTTGTATATAACATGAGTGTGTTGTATGTATCCTAAGCTTAGAGAGAGTAGGGGTCCTCGCTCTCCTGCGCACGTTCCTCCCTCATTGGGTTTATGCTTGAACCAAAAGGAAATCTCCCTCTCACACAGTGTCGTATGTGATCTTTCATTTCCACTTCCCTTTCAGAGTTTGCTCATTAACTTGTTAGTTCCTTCATGGATGAAACACATATGTTTTTAACACTTGGTGCTTTTAAATAGCACCTAGGAACTCTGCTAGGTGCTGAGTCTACAAAGGTGAACAAAACAGATATAATCCCTGCCTTCAGGGACCTTTAAATCCAGTGGGGAAGGTGCTCATTAATGAATGATATTATTACAGATAAATTGTGGAAGATGCTGTGAAAGCAAAGTAGGGGAGGCTATGGAAACATATAACAGGGGGATCTGAACTAGCCTGAGTAGTTAGGGACACTGAAAAGATATTTAATCTGTGATCTGGAGGATATGAAGGAAATAGCTCAGAGGTAGGGGGAATGGGAGGGTGGAGGATATTTCAGATGAAGGGAGCCGCAGGTGCTAAGACTTTTATGAGGGAAGAGGGAAAATGAAGCATTTGGGGAACTGAACGAAAGAATGCCGGTGTAACTGGAACAAAAAGCAGAGGAGGTGGAATGAGGTGAGCATAGCTAGCGGGCTGAGGTCTTTTAGGGCCTTGAGTCCAGGGTGGGAATATTGTCTTCATCCTCAGTAGAATCGTGAAAGAGCTGGTCACCTCACCTTCATGAGGGTGTACTTGGGAGACTCATGCTGGAATACCTGGCACATCAAACATACGGTGCCAGCCATGATGCGCTTCGGGCCCTAGGTTACTTTCCAGATGTTACAGAGAACCCTTTCACTGGAAAAGGGTCTGAATATTTTGACAATGATGTAGGTTTAATTATTTTTAAACCAGTGTTTCTCAGTTTATTCCCACAGATAATTTTTTAGTTCTTAGTTCAGTCTAGAGATTATGTAGTGATACAAAAATGTCTATGTGTATTTTGTCTTTGCTTGAAATAATGGCTTCCCATAAAAATCTTATTAATTCAGGCTTATGGGTATGGGCAAGGCTAACTTATAGGTTATTTAAAAAAGAAGTATAGCAGCATTATTGTGTATTAATGACCATAGATTCATGCAAATGAAAATAAACCTGTGATATCAGCTAGAAGGTTTTCATTAGAAAATTCTTAATTTTTAATTAGTGAATTCTCAAGCCAAGTATGTTAATGATATGGTAGCTCGCTCATTCGTTCATTCATTCATTCATATACTTTTATTCAATACACATTTATGGAACTTTTCTGCTAAATGGATACTTCCAAATAACTTGATTTTTAATCTTATTTAGGTAAAATATATCTCATACTTTTGTTTTTTGTTCATTAAGACATTTTAAATATTTTTTTTAAATTTATTTTTAGACAGAAGGGAAGGGAGAGAGAAGGAGAGGAAAAAAATCCATGTGCAGTTGCCTCTAGCACTCCCCAATGGGGACCTGGCCCACAACCCAGGCATGTGCCTGGACTGGGTATCGAACCAGTGACCTTTTGGTTCACAGACCTGCAGCCAATCCACTGAGTCACACCAGCCAGGGCTATTCATTAAGACATTTTAAACTTGAATACTTAACCCTGTGTCTTGAAGTATGATTTTTGAATAAAGTTCAAATTACAGAAATTGTGAAAATCTGTTTGTGTACAGTGATGTTAGAAAAGCTGGAGCTCCTCAGGAAGTATTTTCCAGGCATTAATGCTTCTTTCAAATGTTCAGTTACTTTTTAACTTGCACTACAGAGTCTGGAGTTCAGATAGATAGAGATCTTTGGCTAGAGTATATTTTTACTATAGTTACGTGATTACTTTGATCTGGTCCTTACTTTTGCTGTTCAGGAAATTTGCTTGCTTAGTATTCCTAGATATGATTGGGATCAGAGGATTGATTCATGCTAATCCTACTTACAAGAGACTTCGTATAAATTAGAATGCTAATTGATAAGATTGTAGAGGAACGCATCTTTTTAAATACACTAAATTAGAAAAATGTATCAAAGTTATGCATGTACATGATTTTTAAAAATTCAAGTGCTATCGAGACACATAGTAAATTATAGAAAAAATTGTCTCCTGTTTAGTCAGCTTTTCCCCAGTAACAACTCAAACATTTATTTCTTGCACATGCACATGTTGCATGCTGACAGCTACAGGTGGGTTGCCATGGCCCTGCTTCAGTTCTGCGTCCCATGTCTTCCCATTCCAAGACCCAGCCTGAAAGAGCCGCCCCTGCTGGGGCATGCTGTTATCGTGGCAGAGGGAAAAAGGCCCAAGGCAGCAGACATATGCAGACATGTGCAACTCCTCTTAAAGTTTGTGCAGAAGTGACACACTTTTGCTTCCACTCATATTCCATTGGCCCAACCAAGACATGTTGCCTGGTCTGATGATGGGGCAGGAAATACTCTTCACCTGCAGGGAGGCGCTGAAAGATGCATGGCCAAGGGCAGGGATACAAATCGCTCTGCTATTGTTTCCAGTAAGTTGGGAACACTCATACAGTCCCGTACTGCCACGGTATTTAAATAATATGTGTATGTGATTTAAATATGCGTAGACAATTTCTCAATTTATACATTTTAGACAGTGCCTAACTCCTTACTGTTTTTATTGACAAAGTTTCTGTCTTTCCCACTGCCCTCACCTTTCTTTCCTTCATCCCCATCGCCCCTCCAATGTAGTTGCATTACTATTGTCAGTTAAATCTGTGCTTGCCTCAGTGCGACTATATATTGTTCACTGACAAGCCAGTTATTAAACTATAATTTTTTCTTTTTTCTTTTTGTACAGCAATTATAGTATAGTAACTGGCTTGTCAGTGAACAATATAGAATGGCTGAAATTAAACACTGACTACCAAATGTTACAGGAATATGGAGCCACATGAAAACTCATACACTGAAATTGAATGGGCACTTTACTCTTTTTTTTTTTTTTTTTTTTTTTTTTTTTTTTTTTTAGTTAAATGTCTATTATATGACAGCCATTCTACTTCTGGGTGTCTATTCAAGAGAAATAAAAACATATTCCACATAAACCCCATCTTTATTTGTAATAGCCCCAAACTAGAAACATCATAAATTAAATGTCCATCAGTGTGGGTGCATATACAAACAAAATAGGGTCTATCCATAAAATGAAATACTTAGTAATAAGAAGAATGAAGTGTCGATACATTTAACAACATTAAGGAACTTCAGTCATTATAATAGGACCGAAAGAAGCCAAGCTCTAAAAAATATGTTATATGATCTTATTTATATACTAGAAAACGCAAACTAAATCTAAAGTGACAGAAAGCAAGTCTCTAGTTGCCTGTGGCTGAGGGTGGAGGGAACACATCTCATGGCAGAAGTGCATGGGCAGACTTGTAGGATATCTCTTTATAGTGGCAGGTGTCATGGGTATATGCATATGTCCAAGTGCATTAATTGTACAGATTGAATGGATCCAGTTCATTGTACTTAAAGTGTACCTCAATAAAGCTGGTAAAGTGAAAAAATAATTTTATGCATTCATGAATGTATTAACAAGCAACTAACAGACATCATGGTTACCAATTTGTCATCTTCAGAAATTCTCATTAGATAATAAAAGTTGTGTTACAAAATGAATGGTGCATTTAATTTATAATTGGTTCCATAAAATTATTTCTGAAGCACTTTACTATGTATAGATTTAATAACTCTTTAGCTAAAAATTATGTTTTGCATATAGCTCATGAGATGTAGTATATATGTTTTTCTAATTATAACAATGTTATGAGTTTATATGCTAGCGATGCATACTGGTGTAGGACAGGTATCTTTAAGTATATAGTTGATATGCATTCTTGCACACTACAGATACAACTTATGGAAAGTTTAAAATGTACAATAAAATGTAAACAATTTTATGACATTTAGGACACGATTGGAGATTTAAACACTGACATGATATTTAATGTTAATTATTAATGCTTACTAGATAAAATTGGGCTGCTATTTTAGAAAGTCCTTAGCTTTTAAAACTATATACTTAAACGAAATGATTTCCGATATTTTCTTCAAAATAATACTAAATAGGGGAAGTAGGTGAACTTACAGGTGAAACAAGGTCGGTTATAACTTGGTAATTACTAAAATTGGATGATGGGGATAGGTACTTAGGTGTGTGTGCCACATTTTCCTTTTTATATTTGTGTTTGCTTGCAATATTTCACAATAAAAAAGGGTATATATCTTATAACTTAGCAATATTACTTCTAGGAATGTATATGAATGAACTTCACAGCGGCATGAACAAACAATTCACAATAATGTTCAATGTAGTAAACATTCTTAACTATTTAATAGGACTTTGGTTAAATAAATTGATGCGTTTGTATGATATAATACCACATAGAATTCAAAATTACGTGAGAAAAATATGTAATAAGATGAAAACATTTGTGATATATTTATATATGTATATAAATATTTATAAAATTTATAAAATTGCATTTTCCAAAAAAGGATAGTTGCAAAAACTGGTTTTTAAATTTTACTACAGTAGTGTGTTTGGGTTTAGAGTGAAAACAAGAAGAATATATATTATAATTTATCTCTTCGTAATGTTCAAAGATACTTTTTTTTGGCAATTGAGTTTTTAAATAAAAAGAGTTGAATATTTTCACTTTAATATGTTAACAGTACAATGTAGTATAAAATTTAACTGTAAGATATTTTATTATGCTTTATTGCTTTAAAGAATGTATAATGAGTAGACAGTTTTGACAGGCTAAGGTTCTGCTCACCTACTCTAAGATGTAACAAACCGAAATATCCTCCTTAAAACTTCATATAAAATCTGAAACGTAGATATTTGTTCTGCTTCTTTTAATGTCAATTTTTCCTTGTTTCAGCTCTCAAACGTCTTCGAATAAAGAAGTGGTTGGAAAGAGTGGTAAGACCTCTGACCACCTTGTGAGCCCGTGGGGCGTGAGGGGGCTTTGTCGGTGGTGGCCTGAACACCGGGCTGGCACCGGGGGTCTCTCGTGCGAAACTCTTCTAAGCTAGTGCATTCTCCATGACGAGCCAGAGGAGGCTCCGGCCTGGTGTATTTCACAGTGCTTAGCGTCTTATTGTCACTGAATGACATGAATGAATCATAATGACATTTAGCCTTTGTACTCATTTGTTTGACAGATCAACAGAGTAATGGAGATATGAAACCAATCCAGAATTTCACAATACCAATCACACAGGTATGGCTATGTGAGCAAACTAGATTATGTCTTATACATTTTAAACACATTTTAGTCAGATCAGAGCCACTTTGAAAATATAAATAATTCTATTAAAAAATAAAATTCTTGTTTGAACTTTGGTTGGGGAAATGTATTATGATAATATTATAGTTAACTTGCACCTTTCTTATATGTGTTTTCATTACAATATTTAGTTTAACTTTTGTTGCTTTCCAGACAAGATCACTCTAGTACCATTTTATCTTTGATGACAGGCAAGCTTGGGTTGCTGCTGTCTGCGAAATTTCTCTTTTATTTATACTTACACTGGAGTAATTGGTATGGGATGGTTCTAGATAAGTGGATCTTCTTTTACATATAGACCTGCCTTGGCGACTTCTAGAGTCATACAGTAAAGTGCATTATCTTAGGCTTCCTGGAAATCGGCAAAGATTTCAAAAGAAGTAGGATGATGTTAGAATACTAGTGTGCTAGTTTACGTACGTTCAATGACCTAGAGCTGGCACTGCCCAGGACAGTAGCCACTTGCTGCATGTGGCATTTAAATTTAAATCCAAATGAAATGTTGCTGAGTCAAATAAAGAAATTAAGCTCCTTAGTGGCACCGGCCACATTTCCAGTGCTCTGTGGCCGCGTCAGCCGTTGGACAGTGCAGACAGGGAACATTTCCAATGATGTGGATTGTTCTATTTGACGTAATGGTCTGGGGAACTATGACTGATTTTTAAAAACCTCTTCTTTTCTTGAACATATTCACTTCTTTATTTAAAGTCCTGAATTATCTGGGTTCTTGTGATATTATTTTCTGATGAGATTGCTGCTGTAAGTCTTACGGAATGGTGACTTTTTTTAATGAATAGACTTCTTAAAAGTAGTTTTAGTTTTACAGAAAACTGACAAAAAGTACAGAAGATTCCCATATACCCCCTCAATTCCTCTCCCTTCTAATTTCTCCTATATTTAGCATTTTTCATGAGAGTTGTACATTTGTTAAAATGGATAAGCCAATAATGATAAATTATTAAAGTCAATAGTTTACATTAGGATTCATTCTTTGTGTTGTACAATCTATGGGTTGTAACAAATATATATTGATATCTATCCACCAGTACAGTATCATACAGAACAATAATTTCTTGGCCCTAAAAACTTGCTGTGCTCCACGTATTCATCCCTGCTTTCTCCCCCAGCACAGTGACTTTTTAAAGTCTATAATGATAATGTTATTTGCAAAGTTTTTTTTAATTTGGTCTTTTCCACTTTTGGTGATTTGTGGACCTGAACTTACGTACCTTTCAAGTATACCTGTTATTTTGTTATGATCTGGTTCACTCATTTCCTTTGCCCTACAATAGAATGGACTTTGGAGCTATAGAGAGTTCAGGGTTTCAATAGGTTGTAAATTAGCTCTTTTACTTCCAAAATGCCTCTTGTACCATGGAAACAAACGTCTCTCTCTGTTTTATTTTGTTTTGTTTTGTTTAACTAGGCCCTGACCTACAATCTGAGCAGTGAAGGGCATTTAGAAAAAGAACCTTGGAATGCATTCAGCCATGATAGCCCGGTTAACATCTCCATGGATGGAATTCCCTGCATTCTCTTTTGGGCCAAAAGAATAACAGTGAAGTTTAAGAACCAGACCTGGCTGGACCTTACAGAGGAAGCTTTTGGCCAGCGGGCAACGGTGGATGCTAGCAACTCAAATTGCAGTGAAGAAAGTGCCAAGTAAGTGGACCATTTCACCAGACGAAGATCTTAGGGTGAATGTAGTCTATTAACTAGGTGGTGCAGTTTTCTTTCATTTCAGAAAAAAGAAGTAGCTTCCTTTGTATATGAACCCGACATACATCTATAGGGAAATGTTTAATGTCTACAATGGAAGGCCAAGTTAGAAATTTTTGAGACTGTTATTTTTTCCTAAGCAATTTTCTTCTGAACTCTTTAGCGGATTGTTACAATACCTTGTGAGAAATCAGGGATCTGAAAAGGAAAGTTCTCAAACTCATTCTGAAAAAGAGAAACGGATTCCATGCCTGCTATCAGCTCCAAACATGAGATGTCAGACTACGTTGTCTCATCAGAAAAGAAATTTCATATCACAGAACAGAGTCATACATATTCTTGTGGGTGAAACAGAAAGCTGACTCTAGTCAGGGCAGATGCTTGATTCTAGTGAGTGTTCTGAAGTTGTGGAACATTGTTTGCAAATATGCGAGGATACATTTGAATAGTCGAATGTCAGAGAATTCTTTAGGACATTTCAAAATGATTAGAATAATTATGTTTGATCTGAAATAAACAGATTAAGCAAATATCCTATTTGAAGAGGAAATCAATTGCCAGTGACTTTCCCGGCTTTTCAGTCATCCACGCAAAATTTTTTTCTTGTATTTGTTTTGGTCCAGGGGGAGGAAGTCTGGCATGTCTCACTTGCTTTCTATAAATCTCCTTGCTTTCCATATTTTCTGATATAATGGAGGCTTTAAGAAGAGTCTGTTCTGGCCTGGTTCATATGAGCAGAATGGTTTGTATAAACCATAACATACCGTGCATGTGCGCGTGCACGCATTCTTTTTATTTTTACATACTTTGGCTGGAAACGTATTTTTATTCCTGAAATTTTCATTTAAAAATTTGTGACATTGGGTAAAATGGCTTATATTAATATAGACTTACAAGTTATATTACAAGTCTCATAAGTATCTAGTTATTCAGAATAACTCCCTCTTATTAGGGAACTAGGGAATTATAAGCATAAACATCCAGAGTCCTCCCAGATTTGTTTATTCTGTTACAGCATGACTGTCAAAGAGACTCCAGCCCTGCTGAGAGTTTCGGACTTTCCCCTCAGGCTCTAATCAGTTCCCTGCAGGGCTCTTGAGTTGTGGTCAGCTGCTCAGAGAGAGACTGATTGCCTGGGGATCATCTTGCCAGTCCATGGCTGACTGACTCTCCTCAATTCCATCCACCCTGACCTCAGGATGTTTGTGGGCGAGAACAGGGCACCACAGCTCTCCACTGGGCTTTTGAAACCTTAACGATCACTGGGAACCCAGGGACAGAAGGAATGAAAACTTGGCTTCTAGGCCCACTTGTGCCAGTGAGCTCTGTGACTTTTCAAACCACAACCACCACAGGATCATCATCTTTGAGATGGAAATGATGGCATCTGTTAATTGTAACTAATGGGCCTTGAGCACTTACCATGGGCCAGGCACTGGGCAAGGACTTCACAGGCACAATGTCTGCTATTCCTCACAACTCTATTGCAAATAAGTCCCTGAGTCACCGGCACTATAGTTATCTGCGTTCCAGGTGAGAAAGTGAAGGTGTGTAGAGGTTAGAAAACTTGCTAAGATTATTCATCTAGTATGGTAATAGAGCTGGGGTCTAAAACATCCCTAACAATGACATATCGCCTCCTCTCTCGGCCTTATCTCATAGGATTATGAAAATCAAATAAGGAAATGTATGCATGAGAACTTTTAAAACTTGTCAAGTCCCATTTGAAGTATATGTTAGAATGCCTTCCTAGCAACACTGATGATAACTAGGGTAAAATAGTGTCTAGCTATCTGGCAGAGAGGCCTAGAAAAGTTTTGGTTTTCATACTGGACACATTAATGATCGGGAGGGACCTGACTTTTCTTCTTGGATATCGCCCTAGAATTCTGATAGCGGAACTGAAGTTAAATATTTTAGCTGTAGTTAGAGTTGATAGGCTTAAATGATTAATGCATGTGGAAAGCTGTTATTCCAAGAACTGAAATACATGGCCTAGTGATGCCAGGAGGTCAAGAAGCAATTCACCCTTTTTGCCCCAGGTGGTCAGCAACTGAGATGGTATCTGAGCCATTGTGTTCCAGGGAGGGAATGTCCACGATGCAGATAAAAAATTGTTGATCAGCAGATAAAGAAATGCTAGGAAAATCCCCATTGCACTTATTAACCTTTCCCCCAAACCCCTTACCTACCCTTTTCTTCTCCTTATAAAAAGTCGGCTTGAGATGAGATGTTAAAATGGTTTTTGAGGATACATAACCTGCTGTCCTCTCAGCTGGCATCTGAATAAAGTGCCCATAAAGATTCAATCCTTTTCTCTACTTACTGGTTCTGGTAGTGACAGGCAGCACAAATGCCGACTTTTCTGATTTTGGTTCTATTCAGGGCAATAACTGAGCGTAGCACCAACTGTGCTTCCTGCAGTCCTGCTCAGGGGGCGTGTATCCTGAGAGCCCACCCAGGGGGCTGAGTGGGCGGCTCCCCAGGATGTGAGCGGGTCAAGGACCAGCAGCTGAGACTGAGTGTCCCTGATTCCCAAGAATGACACAGATATGTGAGATGCCTTTGTTGTGCTGGCCAGGAACCTAATGTTCTCAAGAACCAGAAAGGGAGTTACTGAAAGAAGAAACCTAAGCAAAAACATAGCCATGTAAGGTCAAAAGCACAGATTAAAAAAAGATGACCACGTTTTAGTGCTTGGAAACAATGTTCAGGGAAAGGCAAATTGTTGGCAGACAGATTTCCTATGGAAGTCTAGTTAAATAGTCAAAGCCCTACAAACAGAGCATCATCCAAGCATCTGTCTGTATTTTGAATTTAGGCAACTATAGTCTGCAGGATTCAGAATCCATTTTAAATGCGGGCAAGTAGGGAGTTTGGAAGGGTTAAAAGAAGCTTCTTTTGAGTGACTCGTTAGGTTGTATTTCTCTTTTGTGTTTCCAGGTTATGCTGCAGTGCTTAGCACTTAAAAGATTCTCACTGAATGATGGTTGCATTTACTTCGTTGAAGTGAGGCCTCGCGTTCTTTACTGTGCAGTGGAGCGTGTTAACAGCCTTCACTGAAACCAGGACTGCGGGAGAAAACGGGAGCGTTGGACTCCCGGCGGCTGTTGAGCTACTCCGTCAGGAGAAGGGGGCAGAGATGAGGATGGTCTCCGCAGGCTTTGTTTAAGGTTTAGTTTGTAAGCTGTAGAGCCAGTTTATGGTACCTAAGCTATTGTGATTTTGGATAAACGTAGAGACAAAGAGTTCAGTCCCCATCTGGAAGGAGGAAAGAAGGTTAGAGAGAAAAGGATTCTGTGGCTGTAACCTGAAGGCTCAAGGCCCTGGGTATCCAGAACAGACATCTCTGCTATGGACGGATCCTTCCAGGGGATGACACTGTTTGTCCTTATCTTCCTTCAACCAATGAGAAGGAGCTTACTAATCAGTGGATCTTGGAAAAGTGCGCAGGAGGCCCCCTGAGAGGAACAGTTTTATGAGATTTTAAAGGCGCCCCCTCTCAGACATTGGGTTTCCAGAATAGTTAGCCCTACTGTGTAACCCAGCCCTGGCTAGCTGGAGGGTTTTCAGAATAGTTAACTTTACTGTGTAACCCAAACACGTCAGGCTGGAGGGGCCTTGTTTCAGAGGCCCCTGTACCTCTCTATTCTCAAGGGGAAACCTCCTTCTCCTATAGCTTAGTCTTTCCCTGGGGGAGATTTCAAAGGGAACTTCTTTGCCCTCTTGTTGTGCTCCTTCCTCATGTAGGTTGGCCCTGATTGACTGCTAGACTCCCCGGTTGATATATGAGGCATTGAGTATGATGACTAGCTCATCAGTATAAGCCCCAGCAGCTCCTGATATGTGTTTCTTTTTATTTGTAGCATAGAAGGGGGAGAGAACAATTTGTACATCATCCCAAGTTAGGTCCTAAGTCAATGATTACACTTAACTAAGGATTTTGTTCTTTGTAATAACATTTTGAATCAATCAATTTGTTTCCCATTATCTAATTGTACCTGGGGTTTCTCTTGGGCAATAACAATTGGCTTTGGGAAATCAAAGGGAGCTCTTGGCTTTTTCATTTGCCATTAAAGTTATCTTTACCATTTACCTATGTGCCTTTCCTTTTCTTTCTTATTCCTAGTTTTCCTTGTTTCTGTTTCCCTTCTTGAGTTTCCTCCAATGTCCTCTCTTTCTGTGTGTCTCTTCCTTCATCCTTTCCCACCTTTTTTCACTCTCTCAGTTCCTTCTCCTTTGCTTCTTCCCTCTACACAATCCTTTTGGACTTGCACAGTCCCTCTTCAATGCATTCCATCCTTCTGCAACTTCCCTAGTCTAGAAATCGCTAACCCCATTTCAGTTTTGTAATTTAGTTTTGATTACCAAAAGCATATATTTTCTCCCAACTTGGTTAGAACTTTCAATTTTTAGTGACAACCAAAAGTAATTAATTAGCATTCTTTAGGTTAATACATTGATGATAACTTCCAGAAGCAGTTCTTTACCCCATTGGCAGATGCACATAGTGCTCAAAAGTGAGCTGTTTTATCATCTCGTTACCTTGACAACTGCGAGGAGGATGGAGAAGAGGGGGAGGAGATACCAGTCTTGGGCAACTTTCAGCCACTTCAGTTTTAAAAGTACCAGTTTTTCTCTTTTACATTAAAGGACAGGGAGTTATTGCTTCTGGGGACAGAGAAACAAAGGAAAGACTTAGGGAGGAGGAGGCGGCAGGAGAGAGCCTAGCGTGCTGCTTTGGCTCCCTAGAAAAGTTATAGGAAAGGAGTGAGCCAGGGCTGCCTTGGCCCACCTGGAAGTCAGAGGAAAAGGGGGCCTGGAGACAGGACAAGGGGTGAGCCTGGGTCAAGCTGCCACTTCCCACTGCTTCCCTGGTCGCAAGTGTCCTTGGGATCCTAGAATTTAGGAGGAAATAAAATGTGTATGCCCAAGAAGGGGCA